CAATTAGTTTTTGGTAAATATTTATGCTTATTAATCACCACATAATTAATTAACACTGATATCTCAATTACTGATCATCACATTGAATAAAATTTGGTACATAAATGTTCTAGGACAATAGACAGGCCTGATTAATTTTGGGTTAAAATTTGTTCATATTAATTATCTAATTAGCATAATAATTCATAATTCTGTTCTGTTCATATTAGTTACCTGATTTACATAATTAGTTTTCAGCTTTTCCATCAATATATCATGTACAATTTAGTATTTTGAAATGATTTTTGTAGATTATGATTTTGTGTAATGTTCTTGTTTATAAATTTTTATCTATTTTATATTGATATCTTGCAGGGAACTACTGGTAATCCTAAAGGTGTCACACTATCTCATCATAATATCTTGAATAATAGTAATATTGTCGGTAGAACATTAGGTTATCATGAACGGGTAAGTAAATTTTTACTTTTGTCTATGTTATTTTCTGAAAACTGAATCTGTGATGGCGATAATTTCTCAGTGTTTGTTGATTCATTCATCTGTGCAGTGATCTTTAAACTGTGTTAATTGAACAAATACTCGAGATTCTCTCAAGTTAGAGAAAATTTTGTACAAACTAGTAAACATTATTCTGCAGTTCCTAAAATTGTATTGTGGGTTAAAATTTTTACTGAAGCCTATGACATGTGAAGTAATCTGTATAATTTACTAAATTATAACACTTATATTTGTGCCTATTACCGTAATTATCTGAAAGATCACCCTGGGTGATGTTTTGAATAAGGGGACATTTTTTGGAAATCACAAGAACGAATGTTTGACACATTGTTCTCTATCCTTTAAATTGACGACCTAACTTTTCTTGCAAAACGTAACATGGAAATTATTATTGTCAAGTGATTTGAAACATAACATTCTGATGTATGTATACGTCGCCTTACATCTTCCGTATTCCCTATGTACCGGAGATCACAGCAGCTATAATTTCAACAAAACATGAACTTTTTCACTCACAACATAAAGGTAACTACAGGCATGTAGCAAGAAAAAAAAATGAGCTTTAAAACAATGCATATAGGTCCAAAATTTCCTCAGTCAACACAAATTAGAAAGCATAGCTCTAAAGACTCGTACAAACAATTATCCAGCATTTGTAGTTCAGTCAAATCACATGATGGTTGTTACACAATGGGCATTGTTTCACCATGTTTTATCTGAAACGCGATGTGTGAAGGCATGCTTCAATTATGTCAGCTTGTGTGAAATTTTGTTAATTGACAAGTACAAATATTGAAAGTAAAAAGTCTGACAAATCTGTGTTTTGTTTACATTCATTTTGCAGTAATTGAGCTGGCGACATGTTTTTTACTGGCCAGAATTCTATTACATACATTTGGTTTCCGTAAATTAATATTTTGATCTTTATAACCTGTTTTTTTTTTGGAAAAATTCTCCCAAACCTCTTTGAATATCTAATCAGTGGTATGAGCCCTGACAGCTTGAATGATTTCAGCGCCATGTTGTTGAAAGGTTGAAAGTTCATCACTACCATATATGGATACCATGAGTGAACCAATGCGTGACTTCACTTGTTTGATTGGATAGCTGCTTGACTCTGTTTCAGTTCAAGCTTGCCAGATCGAGACATCTTTCAGTTGTGTAATTTGGAATTTTTAATTGCATCTAAATTATTCAAACTTGCAAGAGTACCTTGTTTTTTGAATGTCCATCGTGGATGTCACAGCGTTATTTTTGGTAGAATTGCTCACTTTCTACTTAACTCCATCAGACTACTGTAAAATCTGTATTAAAAGCTGCGGCTTCTAATAAAATGGTACAATGCAACAGAGGGGATGCGGCTTCTATTAGAGCATCTACACATATGAGAAATGGTGAAATTTTAGGTCTCAATTGTTCAAAAAGAATGGGTGCGGCTAACATTAGGGATGCAGCTTCTAATACATATTTTACGGTACATTGTCGTAGTGTGTGATATTTTCTTTGCTAAACTTGCCAATGCCAATTTGTATTCTATTAATTCATGTTTTTATTTTTTTTCCAGTATTTATTTGTTTTTGCAACACCAAAAGATCTTGCAGGTGCTGACGCATCGCCCATAAGCAAACTTTTGCAGTGGGCGATCGTTCAGACAAATAGGCATAATTTGCATAATAATTAACTACTTTTATCAGCTTGTTGTATGGGTTAAAACTTGGTACACACACATATTGGTTGAGTAGTTGCATGAATGAATGGTTTGGTGTCACTCTTCGCAGCAGTTTAGCCAACTGCGAAAAAAACTGTAGCTGTTTGTGTAGTTGAATATCTGATATCAGTTTGTGCATATTAATTAATAATTCTCCAGTTTGTTTATTCTGTATGATAATTGTAGTTGTACAAATATTTATTTTACACATGTCTTTTGTGTGTTTAGTTGAGTATCTGACACTCTGTGAATATTATTCAACTATTTTCATTCTTTAGATTCACATATACGTTGTTTTTCGACTCGTATAACTTCATTTTTTCCCAAGTTTAATACT